ATCTGAAATACCAAATCAAGGCAGTCAAGGACGCCAAACATGTACTGTGACCTCCGATAATATTTCAGCCTTAAGTGACTTCAGATAAAGGGAGAAAAGAAGGTTTAAGCCCTTTAAAATTTTATGCTTTCAAGTCAAGAAAGTTACAATGTGTAGCTAAGTACTTAGCTAGTTGAAATGACCTCTGAGCATTAACTGATTATTTTAATAACATGTGAATGCCCATTGCACGGTTTAAAAGGAAGAAAAAAGCATCCAAGGAAACACGGAATACTCTTCCCAACTTCAACTCCTGGAAAACTGTCATAAAAATAAAAACAAGTGAGAGGGAGGGGAATAATTAGACTATTTTCCTGCTGTTTCAAGTGCTTCCTGTACATCTATCATGCTCCCTCTCCCACTCATAGGGACAAAGTAACCCAAGGTGTTTCACAGAGTATGCTGGCTAGTGTACCTTGTAATGATTTTTGTCTGTCTAATGCCTCTTGCAACAGGAAGAGCAAGCACTGGTTTTAATACTGTATCTGCATTTGACAGTCTTAGCTTGACAAGTGGCTTTCCTGCTTATAGATCTGGTTCAAAGAAGTTGCTGCTATCCAGGTTAATCAACTTTTCTACTCCTGAAATAAAACATCTCTCAAGAGAAAAGGTTTGGACTTTCAAAGGAGCTTAAGAGAATTAGACTCCCAAATCCTATTAGGTTTCAGTGCAGCTGAAAACCTAACTCTTAAAAAAAAATTAAAAAAAAAAATTAAAAATTGGAGCTGAGAAGTACAGACAGGAAGAAACCCTGCTGTTTCATGAAAATATGAAGAACAGGGGGAAAAAATTATCAGCTGAATTATCCTTATAAAGTAACTGGTTTATTTTATTTTGTTCTGACTTTTCCATATTCATTTTACAGTAATTAATTTTGCACTTCATGTTCATTTATTAAATGGAATTAGGCAAAGAGACACACTGAATTTTTAGCAGAAAAGTACTTAAAGATTGGTTAAACATTACAGATCTGAAAAAGCAATCTATTTATCACTTAATAAATATATGAAATAAATTATTCAAAATTTTTACTTCAGAGTTTAAAATGTTTATAGGTTATTTGTACATGTATGGAAGAAAGAGAGGTTATCATACAACTACATATAAATTACAATTTATTTACGTTACACGTGGTTTTAGCTAATTGTTTCCCTCTGTAGTTTTTTGTTATTAAAAAACAAGAACACACCTATGTCAAACAGAAGCATCCTAAAATCTTCAGGATAACTATATGCAGCCATCTGCCTTTACTGTGCCATAGGTATCTGTGCAATTGTTTATGACATTTGCACTTCATCATTCAAACTGACTCAACAGCCTGTTACAAGTATGTCTTGACAAACTAATCTGAGTGTCACATAACATACTTTGCACTACTGAGCTCCAATCTATGAGGAAAGAAATATCCATTGACTTTGTATTCAACACTATTGTTTTAATTTCTGCCTTTTCCATACAGGCAGGCAAAAAAAGGACTTTTTTGATCTTTGTGTTTTAGAGAAACAATTCTTGTGACTTGAACCCTGCATTGACTGAGCTTCTCAAATAACATTTTGAAGAATTGCTATAAATCCAAGGAAATCAGAGGCTCCCAAGTTGTTCTTTTCACAATGATTCTTAAGTTTAGAGTTGATTTTCCATTTTATTTTTTTTGCTATAAATTCCAGACATGCCTTAGCTTACTAATTAACCACTAGAGAAAAGGAGCATGCCTGCAGTTCCCTGTACTAGAAGGTTCTGAACTCACTAACAAAGTGTCCCAATTACATTTTAATCAAAGTCCTTTTTCTCACTATTGTCATACACCCAGGCAAGCAAATAAAACCAAGTATTTTGAATTATGCTATTAACCTTCATTGAGGAATCTGAAAGATGGGACAAACAATGCCAGCAGAAGTAACATAAACCAAGACTGAGCAAGACTTTGTTCATATTCAAAATTTCATTCACTCTGAGGAAGCAGAGCTTTCTATTTCACATGAAGTCAGATTTCAAGCCACATGAAAGCAGATGCACCCCTTGTCACAGACAAAGGATGCATGAGATTGGTCATGCTTGACTCTTACAGTTCAGTTACAGCAGAGAGCTGGTCAAGTATAACTTAGCAATGCCTCTGACAGCCAATGGTATGCTTATATATTTTCTCTTAAAACACTGAATACTTTCCTTTCTCCTTCTTCCAGAATACCAGTATCTTCCATTTTATCAGTCCTGTAGATTAGCGGTCATGCTTGATTTATTTTTTTCTTTCTCTTACCCTATCTTTATTAAATCCATGAACAAGTCCTGTCATCTTTCACAAAGCATCAAAAAATCCTTTTATACTTGTTCTGCCAGCTTAGGTTTATCTCTAATAATTTTCCACTCAATCTAGCAGAATTACTTCCTTTTGCATGAGACATGCAGACACTAAATAACTTCTCATTTTACTTATGCAGGCAATATTTCTGACCCTTCAATTACACCTATTGGGCTGTGCCATTCATTCCCAACCACCTCAGTACTTTCCTACAATTGCTTTGACAGAGTCCAACTCATAGTATCTTTCTTAGAAACCAGAAACTAAGATTAATTTGTGTCTGTTTGGGGGTTGAAGGTTTTTTGGGGTGGTTTTTTGGAGGGGTTTTGTTTTGTTGGGTTTTTTTTGTTTGTTTGGGTTTTTTGTGGTTTTTGGGTTTTTGTTTGTTTGTTTGTTTGTTTTTGTTGGTTGGTTTTCTTTCTTTCTTAATACCAGGCTGTGGTCACTCTAGGATGTCTGTGGCATTCACTTGAGGCCATGAAACAGAACAGAACACCTACAAAAGTCCTATGTCCTCCTGCAGAGACAGTCAAAAGCAATATAGGGTGGACAAAGCAATATTGGGAAACTAAGGTCAGGAAATAAACTCAATCCTTTTGTCCTTGCTTCCACCTTTTCTATGTTGTAGCTACACTTGCCAAAGAAATTTAACCATTAGACTGAAGACCTCAAAACTCCAGCCTTTACCTTCTACTTTCTATATAAATTAGCAGCAAAATACACCACTGATTTTTAAGCATCTGTTAAGCAAGTTTTCAAGTTTCAGCCATTTCCCTCTAATACACTTAAGAGCTCCCATTTGAAGCACACATATAAAAATCCCCTGGTACAATTTTAGTGTTGTTCAGACTCAGATAATAAATCATTACTGGTTTATTTCAAAAGAAATTAATAGAAATTTCTGCACAAATTTAAGGCTAGTGACACAGCTAAGGAACTTGCCTGCCTGACAGGAGTTTAAGCAAAAGGTTGCCAGCATCTTTAACATTATGTCTCTGGACTAGATCCAACAGGCCTCTCACATTATACTTTTTCTAGAAAGTGTTGCATGCGGATCAATAGTCTCCTTGAAAATTCTCTCACCCTAATACAGATGCCTACCAGATTACCAAATATTTTTCATTTATCTAAATCACAACTTTTTTACTGTTGTGTTAGGCAATCTCTTCTTCTACAAAGAGAACCTATAGCAAAAACAGGCTCCTGCCAGAGGATGGTAACATAGTGCATTAGATCAATCTGAATCACTAAGGCACAGGCCAACTGCTAAGGGCAGACAAATCTGTCATCTTGCAAAACATCTGGTGGCAAAACTCCTCACTATCTCTTCAGGTATGACAGGTTTTCAAGAGTCTAGGACAGAGTAAACCTGTCCATTCTCTCCTATAGAAAGATGGGGGTGGTACCAAGCAGAATCAAAAAAAAAAAAAAAACTTTAGAATTTCAAAGGCTGCAGAAAAGCTACATAAACAGTCATACAATACATTGGAAGGTCAGGGACAGCAGTCATACAATACACTGGGACACCAGACTTCTCCACTTCTGCTATGACATCTCTCACTGTCAAGGGAGAAGGCTGAAAACAAAGGGCATAGAGAGTCACTAGCATGAAAATAAACTGCTCAAATGTGTGTTGGTGGCAGGAATGCATAGGAGTGGATTTAGAAGTACAATGGGAATTAGAAGGAATGGAAGACCAGGTCACATGTCATGTCACGGCCACAAAGGTCTCAATCACAGGAGAATTCTTCTTGTGCACATTACACTGAAGCATTACATAAGACACAGCAACATTACCATGTAGCTCTTCTCTTTCATGTAAAACATATTATGACAGACAGCACTTAGACCTCAGAAGAGACATTAAGGAACACTTAAACACACACTACATAATTGAAATATTAACAAGATTTACATATGCAGACTGAAACAGCAGGATACTGTGTTAAAATCTCCTACACTGCAAGCTGACTTAAGTATTTGTTCCACTGGGATTCAGGTAAGAAACCGGAAGAAATTGACTAGCAATGCTTTCCTTGCTAAACAGACGTGTACGATTTTGACATTTGTAGCTTGCAGTACAATCAGACTACAAATGAATGAGTAATGTCGACATTCCTAAAAGTATTTAAAAAACCCCACAGGAATGCATTTCCACTGTATCCCTGCATTAGTTTCGCTGTAACTCAGCGACGAAGAGCGTCACGGGGAAGGTGTCTGAGCAGGGCAGCTACGTTTTCAGTCCCGTATCCAGGCGCTGGAGGCGGATCCCCGCCGCGGACTCCCCCGAGCGCGGTTCCAGCCCTTGGGGCCGGCTGTGCTGCTGCCGTTGAAGGGGCCCGCCCGCCGCTCTTATCGCCCGAGGGGCTGCAGGCGTGCGTGGCGCAGATACACCGCGGAGCCAGGGAGCGCCCCTTCACCCCCGTGCCCCACCGGCGGGCCGAGCACCGTTACAGAATTTGCCCCGGGACCCCCGGGCTTTGGTCGCCTCCGGGCCCGCCCGCGCCGCCCGGCGGGGGAGGAGCCGCCGGTGAGCCGGTGCGTTCCCCGCCGCCCGAGCAGCGCGGAGCGGGGGAGGCGCGGCCGCCGGCGCCTCAAGTTGGCGGAGCGCCGGCGGGGGACGGGCAGACCCTTCCCGCCCACGAGGAACGCGCACACTCACCCGCCGAGCCTCCGGCGACGACTTGGTGAGAGGCCTCCTGCAGAAAGCCCCGGGGCTGCCGAGCCATCCTCACCCGCGCCGCGGCGGCGACGAGAGGGAGCAGGCGCCGGGAGAGCGGCCGCGAGCCGGGCCGAGTGCGCGCTGGGCGGCTGGGGAAGAGCCTGAGGGCCCGCGGTTATCTGCGGGCGGGAGGGGGAGCCGGGGGCGGGGGCGCCGGGCTGCGGCCCCGCGGCGGCCTTTGGCAGCCGGCCCCGGGCAGAGGGCGGCCCCGGGCGCTGCGCGGGCTCGCAGCTACGGGCCACCGCTTCCAGCCGGAAAGCGGCAGCCTCTCTCTCTCTCTCGGGGCACAGCCGGGACGACCGGCGCTGCGACCGTCCAGGCTGGGGCGGGGAGCGAGGCTGTGGCACTGTCAGCTGCCGTCCCCTGCTCAGGCTCGGGCCGTACACTCCCGCTTCGGGGCTGGTGCTATACAGCACGCATCCTGCTCCCCATCGCTGCTGGGACCCAGCTAACACCCCCACATCCTCTGCTCCTCAGCTTCTAGGAAGGGTCGCTGGTGCCGCTGGGATCACAGGCTGTCTTTTTGAAGACTGCTGTCCTTCTAAAACCTTTAGTCTAAAGGACGCGGGTATTTTGTCGCTTGGAGAGTAACTATTACATGTATTACAGGGACCTGTGGACCCATCTTAGTAAAAAAAACGGTGACAGGGCATGGGCTGGAAGTGGTGGGACATAGCGCCATTGCCGACAGCCTCCAGCAGTGCTTTCGGCAAGGCCAATTTCTGCTTTTCCAGAAGATGCCCGAGTACAACGTGGGGGACAGCATGGGCTCATCCCAGAGGTAGCACCATTTAAGGGCAAGACAGTTAATAGGGCTGTTCTGATACATTAGTTTGCTGGGTGCCTGTTTGTGATAGTTTAGCCACAAATGTTGCTAACTGACTAGAGGTTCCAGCTTTGAAAGGAAATGTAGCTTTTTGTAACGTAGAACAAAGATTAGAAGAAAACAACGGGTTTATTGCTACTGAAAAGGACGGGAACGTAGGAAATGTACAGAGAAGTGTTAATAAAATGCTGAAAGACTGAGACCCTAATTGTAAAAAGGAATAATAGTCAGGTATAGCATTCAGTTATATCACTTGAATGCATCAGCAAATAAACAATAACATGGAGTTTTGATCTATATAGGAGCTGAGTGTGGATTGCTGTGGGAATACAGAATAACTCCCTTAAATTAATAAAACTTGAATGTGCTGACCTTTAAGTAATTAAAATCTCAACTTCAAAGTTTCATTAGCATTTGCCTTAGTTCCCTTGGTTTGGCTCCTTGATAATGCTGCTCAATAAATACTTCTGGATGATCAAGTCTCCAGTGTTCCCTATCATCAAGAAGCAGATGCTGAAGCATTACCACTTTTTTGTTCCAGAGATGTAACTCTCCTTGTGCAATGCTCTATTGGATACAAATAGCAATTCTAGTATTAAGGTGGACTTTGCTACAGTATTTCGACAGCAGAGAGAATTTGGAGTTCATCAGAGTGCAGAAACTGGTCAGATAGATTTGTTTTCTGCATGTGTCCCTGCATCAAAGAGAACAGCAGTCAGAATGCATGTAAGTTACATGGATGTTCACACAGTAGCATAACACCTGCTCCTTTAAAGAAAACAAACAACCTCTGCTATTGTTAGAAAACCATTAAGGTCGTTTCACGGTATTCAAACTCCAAATCTATGCCCCCTAATTCAATTCCCCAACTGAAAGTCTCTTTGGCATATCTCCCTTATTTTCCATCCACCCCTCCCTCCTCCCCCACAAAGGGCAACCTCCCCACTATGCAGGTTTCCTAAAGCACTTCTAGGCTCAGTCCTATTTCCATATGGCCTCATCCGAAACCAGTACATGAGCGCCACTCCATTCTTGTCCTCGATATCCCTGGCAAGGTCTGTCTCTCCATTTGTCCTTACTGCGTCCCTTGGTAGGGAATTCCGTCCATCCCGGGCAGCACCCCTGCGCTAACACCCGAGAAGGAAACCGCAGCTGCCCGAGCGGGGGCAGGACGAGGAGAAGAGACCCAAGAGCAGCGCCGCGCCCGCCGGCCCCGCCGCGCCGCCTCTCCCTCCCGCAGGGCGGCGCCCCCGCGCCCCGGCCCCGCCCCCGGCCGCGGCCCCGCCGCTGCGCGCTCCCGAGGGCGGCGGGCGCGCGCGCCCCGGCCCCGCCCGCCCGCGGCTTTGTTGCGGAGGCGGCGGCGGGGCCGGAGCGCGCAGGTAACGGGGCGGCGGGGCCGGGTCGGGGCCGCCCCGCGGCGCTCGGGCTGGGACTCGCCCCATCCTCTGCCACGGGCTCGGCGGCGCGTCCCGGCGAGACGGCGTTAGGTCGGGCCGCTCTGCCCCCAGCGCCTCCCCGCGGGCGAGCGGCCCTGTCCGGCCTCCTCCGGCCCCGGGAGCGAGCCGCCGGGCCCTTGCGCCGCTGACCGGCTGCATGTGCCGTGGCAGCCCCTTGGCTAGGTTAATGTTACCTCCCGCGGCCGCCGGGCGACCCGGCTGGCCCGACTTTCCGCCCGCTCCGCAGCTGAAGACAGGGGGAAGCAAGTTTGCCGTGCGGGGATGCGGGGCTTGGAGTCCCAGAGGCGGCGGCTTTGCGGGAAGGGAGGGGGCGGACTGGCTGCTGCCTCTGGGAGGGGGACAGCGCTGAGAAACGGGCCGGGACAGTCCGAGATGAAACCTGCCCCGAGCAAATTCAGGAGGTCGGTTCTGGATCTTTAGTGTCAGATGAGAACAAAGTGTGGAAGATGCTCTTCATTGTACTAATGCTTTATAAAAAAAAAAAAGAGGAAAAAACTGCACCAAAAGACCTTGCCAAAATAAAGTTTGTGCTTTTTTTGAATATTTATAACTTAAAGCTTCTTAGGAAATCCCAATGAACTGTATACCTCAGCTCCTCTTGTAATTCCTGCTAATCAGAATTCTTGATGATGATGTCAGGATCTGTTTCTTCTGAGGAAAAAGGCTATGGTTTCTCAGTGTGAAGAATTTGGGAGAAAAATATTCAATAAATGTACCCAAAGGACTGTTCTACCTGAGACAGCACACCTTCTGATGTTTGATGTTTGTCCGTGGAAAAACTACAGCTGGGTCTAAGTACAACTTCAGGGGCTTGAGGTGATTGGAGCTGGGTTGCTGTAAGAGTTTATTTGGGAATTCAGAGTGTAGTATTAGGACAAAAGCACTGTAGTTGCTTTTGAATATTCTAGAAAGTTCTAACTCCACTTAGAACAGTCTTAAATTGCAGTGTTTTAGCAGTGGAAGAAAAATCAGTTAACCACAGCAATGTGCTTTCTGGCTCAGAAGATCTCGGAGGTTCTAGGATCTGTGGATTTTAGGGAAGTGCAATGATGCTCTTGCCTTGTTCTTGTACCTGTCCTTGAGCATCTGTACTTGGCCAGTTCTGCTTTGGGAATGTACAACTCTGGTTTAACTCGAAACCACTTGTTTTAGATTTTGTTTATTTAAATATGTTATGGGGACTAGCTTATAAATCTCATAAGGTTTAACAAGAGTTAAAACTGTCATGCCAGTTAAACATGCTGCTTATGTGGTAGTTCTGTTTTATTTTGGTGTTTAGTACCCAGAATGTTGTAATTCGTGACAAGGTTCTTCAGCTGTGTGAGATAGAGCTATGTACACCAGTGAGGTGCCATCAATTTGATGGCTGTGAGCTCTTCTGTTCTGTCACTGGTAAAGGGATTAGCACTGCTTTCAGGATTTTGAAAGTGATAAACTTGTCTTGCCTGTCCAGCTAAGTTACTGCACTTCTGGTTGCAGTATGAAAAGTGAAGAGATGGACTGGGACATGAAATACGTATAGGATTTAAGAAGACAGGAACAGTTGCTGCTTCTACTTTCTCTAGGTATTTTAGGTTTTCTTGCAATGATACTGCAAGTTCCTTACAGTTTGTAATGATGACTACTGCCCAATAGTAGTGGGTAACAAATTAAATTTCAAAAATCTCTTCCCTAGTTTTCACATGATAAATAATTATATTTCTTGCCTTTTTGATTGTTTGCTTGCTTTGTTTCTGGATTTACTTAATTCCTCTTTTAGTCATTAGTTTACCTGTTTGGGATAAGGAAATGTTACTTTTCTTCACATCCTGTTAATCTATCTCCCTGCTTGTTAGAAGTCATTCTAGATGCTGCTAAATTAGAAATGCATTATAATGGTATTAAACTTTTTCCCTGACCAGTAAGAAGCAAAACAATGTTTTATTTCATGCTTAGTATTTCTCTTGTAGCAAGACAAATCCAACACATTGTATTACTGGCAGAAATAGTATGATGCTGATGCCACATGACCCACGTTTGCTTTTTGAAGTTTGTGGGGGTTTTAGTTTCGGAGAGCACCTAGGTTACTAAAAAAGTAAGGGAGTTTTCAGATCTTGCTAGAAGCGGTTAGGGGAGAAGGGAAAATACATGTTCAATAGTTCTCTAGGGAAATAATCAACAAATTATTCATTAGAATTTAAAGCAAGAAGATACACATGATCCGAGGATGAAGGGAAAGAGCATCCTGCCTATACATCACAGATTTGTGTAAATTTAGTTGCGAACCTGACAGATATCCTAATGGATCTTTATGCTACCTACTTTTTAGTCTGCCAAACATAGGGCAGAACAGATGCTGTGTGTTCATAGCAGTGAAATGCCATAGTGCACTTTTAAGCTATGAATTAGTGATCTGATGCTTACTTTAGTGCAGATCACCAAAATAAATGCAGAAGCTTCTTGTCACTTTTACTCTGTTACCCTATGTGGGCAATTGATGTTTTGAAACTTACCTTTGAAACAAACAAGCAACCCTTCTGGGCTGACGACTATTGACAGATTTAACTACAAGCTAATGTTGCAACTGACAGATATTCCTGTATGACCGCTGCCTTTTTCCTTTTCCTTTGAAAGAAAGATGGTTTTGAAGAAGTAAGAAAACTGGAGTATTGAACCTTTTTTTGCAGAACAGCTACAGCTATGGAAAGAAACAGTGTGACTGCTCAGTTGTTAAGATGATTCTCTGCTGCTTTCAGCCACCAGTTTTTTAAGTGACAGGATGCTTGGCATGCTCCCCGCTAGTTTTGCGAGGAAGCTCC